TCTATTAGAAAATTGACAGAGAGATCTGACAATCAATTTGAAGTCAAAAATCACAATTTGAGGTGCCTCTCAGTTAGAATTCACAGAGAGATTTGCCATTGAAAATCTGAGAACCCGAAATCGAAAGTTATCATAATTTGACACAGCTTTCGATTAAAAAATTTATTAAAAAAATCTGCCAATCAAAATTTTAAAATCCAAAGTCGAAATTCATAATTTGAGATGCTTTTTAGTTCAACATTTGACAGAGTGGTGGAGATATTTCAGTAATACAGAAGAGAAGAACTGTCAATACTAGTACATTATATCTTTTTGGATTGCTAAAAGCATGTAAGAGCTTTGATCTAAGTGTTGTGATATACGTATGATGTTTGATAGTTAAAAGGGCTATAAAAAGTCTTTCATTAAATAAACTGCTACTTTATTGAAGATACTTAGATACTTTTTTCAGTACCATATTTATTTCACCCTTATGCAAAGGACTTTGAGAGTATTTTAATAACTATATATAGATAAGTGTATAAAAAAGTATAACTAAGAAAAATGTTTTTGTTCCTGAATTTTCTCTTTCAGCAGCAGGAGATTCCAAGAGTAGTTAAAAAGTAATTTCAAGAGTAGTTAAGTAATACGAAGAGTAGTTAAAAAGTAATTCCAAGAGTCCAAGAGTAGTATAAAAATTATTTTGAGTACTAATACAAGTAAAGAAAACTAAAAGTGAAAAGTTGAAATGCATTTTAAATGTAACGAAATCATTTGAGAATTTTTTAACCATGCAGTTAAGCATTGTTCAGGGCTTAATTTCCAAAATTAGAAATACCGGAGCCCTATGGAAGACCGTCAACAAAGAGGAACAAGAGTAAATAAAAAAATAAAATGACTATTAAACTCATGAATAATTTTAAAATTAAATAGTTAATTATCATCAAATCAAGTAATAGCTATTTAATTAATGTTTATTAATTTTTATTTAATCAATAATTATTATATAATTAATTAATTATAATTTAATTTATAGTTAGTAGATACTTAATTAATTATTATTTATTGAAATAATTAAATAATTAAAGATTAAATTAATTAAATAATTATAATTAAATTAAATGTAAAGAGATAAATTAAAATTTAATAAGCGATTTTTAACATAATTTTATTGCTAAAAATAAAATTTTCGAGATAAAATTTCTACTGAAATTGTTATTCAGTTACATAAAAGAAGTGCCGCACCCTTTTGATTTAGGGCTCCGGTGCGTTCCGCCTAGAATTATAATTTATTCCAAAAGTAAGAAGCGCCGGAGCTGGGATCCTATGGACTCCGGTGCACAGGTCTTGCATTCAACTTAGCACTATTTAAGCACTGGTCTTGCATTCAAGAACTCAGTAGTAATTTAATTATGTAAATAGCAGTTAAAAGTAGTTAATAAATACGAGTTAAAACTAGTTAAATAAACTGATAATACGTTTCATGAGTATTAATGTTAAAAGTAAATTTAAAAATGAAAAAGTGCAGTTTCAACTTATTTACTACATTAATAAAAAAAACTGAGCAACTTAGTTCTGAAAATCTACCTGAATTAAATCTGGTCCACCTTATTTAGTTCGATTGGACCAATACTCTCTACGATTCCACCTTCATAAGTGCGAAATAAATATAGTACTGAAAAAGAATTGGTACTTTTCCGTTTTGCCGGCGCAGGAGATAAAGTCGCTGGTAATGGTACAATTGATGCCAAACGTAATATCCTTTACCGTAATATCCTAGTAACCTTTTACACCTTATTTTCAAAACAAGTCGCAGCCATTTCTTATCACATTGATTGTTCTTTCAATACTGGCATACAATTACATAGAATTTTTACCAGATAATTGAATTTTATGCCCTAAGGCCGTTCACGGTAATTAAGTCAATTAGGATGCAATCACACCGCTCAGCCGAAAATATAGAAAAGGCAAAGTCAAGGCTTAAATTTATCAATTCTAATGAGAATGCACTAGCGAAGTAAAGCATTGCGGTTCTACATAATTTCTGAGTAAGCTATTCGTACGAATTGAAATAATTCTTGCATTTAAACTTGTATTCGAAATTATGATTTAACTTGAAATTCATATAGATAATTACTGAGAGAATTAGGTTTTTGTAGCGTAGTTTACGTGAGATAAGCTCACTTGGGGTCACGTGATAAGAACCGGCGAATCAGGATGTTGAACCATGAAAGCATAATACATTCTTAAACTAATGTCTTTTTACAAATTTATTGTCTTTATTTATTGGATTTTTACAAAATTGTAAACGATATTAAAATGTTTATGCCTTCAAAATAAAAAATTCTGAGAACTAACATTTGTTAACATTTTTTATGTGTATACTGTATGTTGCCGCCAATAAAGTCTGCTTAACGGGATTTGCGCCGGCGTAACGGAAAAGTACCAAAGAATCTAAGCATCTTCAATAAAGGAGCAGTTTATTTAATGAAGGTAATATCCCAGCTTATAGCAATGAATGCGATTAATAGTTTTGAAACAGAACCGGAAGCCTCAGAATTATTGCTCTTACCGATCAAGATCCTCAAGATAACAAATACCAAGGAAAACTATGCATGCTGTGAAGGCAGGGCTTCAAACGTTTTTCCGTGTTTAAATGATAGTGCATTAAGAATTCATTCCTCTGTTTAGCTAAATAGATGTTTAATTGTGATATTTTGAGGCGCGAGAAAGGTTATTCGTCACATACATCGTCATCTGCGCGCATGGTTGGAAACTTATTACTACACCACGAGAAATAACCAGATCTTAATATTCTGAGGTATCAACAACAGCTTTCGGTGGCAAAGTAACTTTTATCCTTTATTTGCTAATTATTGCTATTATTATTAAATTAGGATCATTATTACGCAAATTAGGCTTTCTGAGACACTTTATTTCCTGATTTAGTCTCACGCTTTACAGGATATTCAGACCAAATTTCAATGAATGCTGGACACACTTTAATTAACAAGTCTGCAGACAGCATTTCAGTTACAATGCATAAGTGCAGAAATAAAATTTAGTTAGTCTTACTCAATTTCTGTTTGATTATCTTAGTATCTCAAATGTGGCACAACCATTCTGTAAACAGAAAGATAAAAAGAAAAATACAAATCTTCTGCTTTGCACATTAGATGTCAAATTCCTTATTTATTCTAGTGATGAATATGAATTCACGTGTTCTTGAATGCTTCTATACCATTGTTTGAACAAAGCATATTTTTTTCACTCTGGTTACGAAATGCATTAATTTAAAAGGACTGAGTTTAAAGGGTTTGGCATGTAAACTTTCCAGCATAAGAATATTAATTTCAATTTCAGGAATATTTCTGAAGTTACAGAATTGCAAATTATTCAAAATAAGTTAATCTATTTTAATTAGCTTTGTTTTTGAAATTTACAAAATCAAAACAAAAAATAATATATGAAATGAATAGCATATATTTCCAGACATGTTTTATTCATACTAACAACCTCAAAATTGTAATCAAATTCTTATCATACAAAATTATTCAAAATGATTGTCAAAGCTTTTATGTGTATAATTCCATACCTAACAACAGTGCATTAGCTTAATATGATGAAGGCAAAATAAAATATTTGAGTTGCTGCCAGAAAGTTGAAGCAGAAAATTGTGTTTCTTAATAAAATGACTTCTAGGCGTTGGCGTGATCTTAGACGCAATGCAGTTCTTGATATGATAATCTACAGATAACATTTCCGACTGCCTGATTTTTATGCTGTGACTTTTTATTTTGGGTGCTATATAATGATTATATGCTTTTTCCAGTTTTCCTGTAAGCCTATATTACCTCTCAAAACCCCCATCATCACTGCCAAGTGAACAATAAAATAAAGGATGAATTGGAACATTAGGGGACAGAAATTAGTTACTATCGATGCTATTTAAGTAACTGAAAAAGTCACACAAAATACATGAAATTTGAGTAAAATTTGAATTGTTTCATTGGTATCTTCCATTTTCCGCGATTCCGGTTTCCGCGGTTGTGAAAAACGTTCCTGTTTTCGCGAAATCCTCAATCTTCATTACCCCCCCCATTCCCAAAGGGGTTACATAGTGGGGGGCCGAGTGGACCTTGGCCTCTCCCGAAAAGTAGAAAGGCAAAAACTTTTAGATTTAAAAAGAATTTTTAAAAGAAATAATCGAAAAATATTTACGATCTCAGATCTTTGCATGAATGAAGCTAATACTGTATTTAAAAAGAGAGAGAGAAGAGATGGATGTTCAAACTCTGCGATGATTTTAGCAATGAACTAGAAGATTGTTTCCTAAAGTAAAAAACAACATTCTTCCAAAATTCTGCATAAAGGTGATTTATAATAGAATCATTCAGAATAAATATTCGTTCTAAAACTACGTTCTTTCTTCTAAAACGACGACTTCTTTGATCTTAGTTTCGCTTTTTGAAGAATTCTTTCATTTATCCAAATCCAATAAACTACAGTTTCCTTATTTTTATTCTGAATTCGTTTCTGATAACCTTTATAAAGGGCTAAAGGTTTTTTTTCCCCTTTTAGTTCCAATAATGTCTAAAACGTCCATATTGATTAACATAAGATGTGAAAATAACAGCTAATATTGTAGCAGAATTACAAGTGGAATGGAACTAAATATTTCTAGAGGAGCCTAAATTAATACACGTCTTCAATCTACCGAAGACTAACTTATTCACAAAGAAACTGCTCCGCTCTTCTTAATGACTCATCGTGGCATCTCCGATTAAGCGGAAAACGGAAGAATTTTGAAAAACGCGGAAAGAGGAATTGCGAAAACAGAACTAATTCCTTTCATTTCACTTCATGAGTAACCTTTCACTCTATAAACTATCTCTCACTTAAAGGAATTGGTTCAAACATGAAGATTAAATATATTTTTGAACTATCTGAAAGTCAGCGCGTTACTTTTAAAATGAAGCTTTGAAAGTTTTTATGATCAGACGTAGATGGTCTATTCTTACCTTTGAGCATATTTTTTCGAAACGCAGTGGCTCCTGTGGTAATGGTAGAACAATTCCATCTGTGATATTCGAACTGAGATTGACACTCACGTACTCCGGTTTGAGCTCCTTGGCTGATGATTAGAATTATCTCAGGATATTTCATACAAAACTGTCTCTGCTGCTTGACTAGGCCTGTGAAAGAACTGCACAACATATGTGTGCTGGTGTGAACTGAAGAAATTGGTAAGCGGCTTAGCAACCTAAAAGAAGAGTCAGTGATATACTGAAAAGCCATAGAAATGTATAGGGCGTTTGTGAATGATGGCTACAGCTTTATTTCCCTAACTGTTGATTTTAGATGTGCACTTCGAATCACCATCTTAAAGTAGGCTTATGAAAATCGTGTAAAAGCTATTCAGTCGATTTAAAAGGTTCTGTAAAAGATATATTTAATTTGTTGTATAATATCCAAAAACTTCCCTTAGCAATATAACCACGGTTTTTCGGGAAAACATTTCCCAAATATGCTTAATATCTCTTTTAAATTAGCCAATTGCACCTTGTTTCCAGCTACTTCTTAAATTTATTCAAAAAGCCTTGAATTTAAATCTGCAATGAGCATGGAAAAAGACCTAAGTCATCAAATGTGTTCTTGGATATCTTCGCGAATTTTGAACACCAAGTCTGAAGTTTTTTGTATTTTATTACAAGAAGTTTGAAGAAAATTTGCTACATGGAACTTTTACTTGAACTGAAAATATCTGCAAGTCTAAAAGAGTATAAAAAATTTAGAACTTATTTTTTCAGTGAATTTATTTTTATTTAGTGCAGTCAGGAAATAAAATCTCAGCCACCTTTTTCGAACACCCTACAGTATAAAAGCAAATATAAAAAAGCTGCGTTATTTTATTTACAATATTTAATGATTAAATGAATTTCTATCAATTTATTACAGATTACATAATTTGACAACAATTTAATTCAACTAAACTAGTCATTTAATTTTAAAGCATTAGCTATACCATTTGTTTCATTAATCATTCAATACTTATAAAGCACTTTTAAAACAATTGTTTGGACATAACTTAAAAGTTATACATAAATTTGTGACTAAAAATGCTCAAAAAATGTTTTGCAAAGATGCAAATATCTTACATTTAAAGTTGAAAAAAGATGGCATTCATATTAGAAAATAAATTTAAATCATTTAACGAAATAAGAAGTTCAACGTAATGATAAAGCGATCCTGTACTATTCGTAGTTAGATCCTGTTTGAAAAGTGGATCAAAATATGTTCCAACGTGTATATGTTTTGAAATAGCATATTTGAATCAAAGATAGGCATATTTTGAACATATTTATGTGCTCTTTTAGTTTTGCCCTCGTGCATAGTGCCCCTTTTTTATTTTTATGTTCGGACTCTTGAGATCTAATAAAATTTTACCTCCTCGTACCTCCATAAATTTTAATTATTTCGCTTCCCTTAATCCTGCCGCCCGGTGCTGTCGCATTGATTACACCGGCTCTGGCGTCGACTCTGTTTAGAAGCCTCATCCCCCACTCAAAAACAGATACAATTTTTATCTAGTTTTCCGAATATTTCCATTAAATAAAAGGCCCACCAGCGGCCGAGCAGTAAAGTCGCTGAACACTGCTAGTTCGGTCAGAAGTTCGAATCCCGCGAACGGGCTGACTGCATGGGTGTTTTCGTGGTTTTCCCCACGTGTAACGTGTATACGAGTCAGTTTCCCTTAGAAAGTCCTCCACGAAGGCATCCCTCCCCTTAGGCAGATAGCCCTCGAAGCTTTGCCGTTATTAAATAACCTAACCATTAAATAAAAGGATGAATAGCCCTTGTATACTTTGTAATAATCATTTAGACACATAAAAGTACCAGAGGATTTTACTTTAAAAATGATATACTCATACATGAAATCAATGTAATAAAAATTTATTTAAAGCTGCTTAAAGATACATTATTTTCAAAAGGCATTAAGAAGAATCGCAAAACCCATTTGATTGTTGCCATTAATTATATTTTCATGCATTTAAATTCTCACTTTTGAGTGTCATTTTAACCAAAAAAAAAAAAAAAAAAAAAAAAAAAAAAGGTGTGTCAATATAAAACTACTTAAATGAAATAAAAATATTTTTACCTAAAAATATTTCATAAAATGCATTTAAGATACAATCTAAATTTTACTCCTTTAATTCTGAAATATTTTATTATCCATCTTGATGACTATTGAACTTATTTAATAAATAAATATAATACACGAAACGTTTAAAAAACGCCCCTTTGGGCGTAAATATAAAGTCTAAAAGCTTTCATATATTTTTTTTTAATTTATTTCTGCCATAATCATTCGAGCTTGATTTCATTAATGTACTAATTAAGATACCTTTAAAACTGCATTTAAAGGGCTTGAATTAGAAGACAAGCTTTAATTCGAATGCTTTTTTTTTTTTTTACTTATTCATGATATGGTGGACAAATACGCATTATATTTATGATTATTGACAAAAGAAGTTTTATATTTGTAATTTCAGAGCCATTTCCAGGTGCGTTAATTCAATCCCTCACGTAAAAAGGTTTTAAAATTTTAAATGCGCAAACTTTCTCAAATGCCGGAGGTAACGGAATCACAGCATCTCTCCTATTTGATACAAAAACTGGCAGAATAAAAATAAAGGTCTGTGTAATAAAAATAAAATCCTGAATAAATGGTACCAGTTGCATTATAAATGAAAGCACCTCTTCAACTGAGTCGTAAACATAAATTCATTTTAATGAGTCGTAAAAAAGTGTTTACTGTAAAATTTCTGTAGCATTTCACTAAGAAAATGCACAGAATTTCCAGATTTGTTGAGAGGATTTAGAAAATTTTGCAAGACATGTTTTGATTACTAACCAGCACACACTTGATTCATTTGAAATGCCCTCATTATTAAATAAGACACACTTTGAATTAATTCGTTACACACATTTCTATTCAAACTCCATCACACACGATTCAATTAGACTTCCAAATTAAGCGTATAAGACCTAGTTCTGGTAGTTCGATCAGGTTTCTAATTCTGACGAATTGGGCTTTTTACCCACATACCTGAACACTAGTTAAATAGAAACAACTGAGCAACAATAATTTCTCTTAGAAGGTTCTTCACAAAGCATATCTTTACGCAGGTAGATAACCCTAAAATACTTCGCCATAATTTAATAAATCCAGTTTGATTTCCAGCCACATAGGGAAAATTCAATTCATTGCGCAAGTGCTAGGATTCCTATATAAACGCAGAAGCCGATACTTTCATGGGGAGGGGTTCAGATTTGGGTTCTTAAAATTTAATTGTTAACTAGCTGTCAAATCCGCCAAACGAGCGGACTGCGACCGAAGCAAATCTTATATATTCTATGCACACCTGGGAAGAAAATGTATGAAAACATTTCAGTATAAATGAAATCAGTTCATTCTTTCAAACAGCATCCAATTTGTAAATAACATTTTTGTTGCGGCGCTACTTTGGTAGACGTTTGCACGGATTTTGGCGATTTTTTTTGGCGAGCGATACGACTTATGGTATTCTATTGCTGGACGAGTTATTTATGATAACCGATACTTTGTTGTCATTTTATTTAAAAAATAATGCGTTTTATTATGCATAAATTCTGTGTTTTAAATATTATTTATAGCTTCTAAATATTAAAATTAAATTTAATTTTGCATTTTTATTTGAGATAAAAATTTTATTGTTTATGACATTTTATATAATTTTATGTTGTGGATGATGTAATCAATAACGTCCCTTTACTTTAAAAGTAATTGGCCTTAATATCTATAAATTTAATCTAATGTTTTAAACATTATTTATGGTTGTTGAATATTAAAATACAATTTAATTTTGCATTTCTTTAGAAAAGTTATTTTATTATGTATGATTATTTAAATAATTTTAATTCTATGCGTGGTGTAACCAGCTCCCTGATTGGTTACTGAATATTTGTGCATTACCAAGCCATTTTAAAATTTTATTATTCATCTCTTCGAATTCCTTACTTGTCATAGTGAACGGATATGTCTCTTTCAAAGATGAATGTTGTTATCGGTAAATACCGGGAATTATTGGTATCGGAATAAAAAAACTGTCCCCTTTGAGACCTTATTTTGGCCAACCTGTCTTTCCTAATCAAAGATTTATTTATAAATTGTTAATAGCGTCAGAGGAAATTTATTTTAAATTTTAATATTAAATTTATAGAAATTAAAAGTAATATTTTAATCCAATTAAACGTTGACGCAATGTTTTTATAGCAGTGTGTTTATTCTATTTCTTTGCTATATGAAAGCAATAATTTATTACTTTAGTATTTTATACTCGTAGTAAATGTATTTATTTACATTTGCCTGCCATCTTAAAAAACGAAGTTTTCAACAAAAAACTAATCCATTATTTTTAACGATATTTTTTTTAAGTTTCGAATGCACTGCTATGCTTAAAAAACGTAAAAACTGAGTTTTTCAAGATGGCTGACGATTGTAAAAACCGCGCCAACGTAAATCGGCAAAAATCCGTGCAACCGTCTTCCGAAGTAGCACCTTTGTTGCCAAATCAGGAAGCAAAAACTTTGGACACTTCAGGTTAATACATATACGTAGACGTTATGATTTAAATTTAATGTAATATAACAACTTTTTCTCAATAACAATAAAGGAATTAACGTGGCAATAGCATACCGTATCAGTTATCTTAATTTGAAATTAAGTTAAGTTGCCAGCGGCAGCAAACTTTCTCAAATCTCTAAAATTCTGACATTAACGGAAAATTTTCGACATACAATGACGTCACATACAGTCGCATGCTTTCTTCAACGTCAGAATGTAACCTTATATAATAATAATATATTTAATATTTGCTAAAGCTATTTTTACTTCACATTTTGTAAAACTTACAAATTTTTTATCAACAAACTCTATGTTCTGAAAGAGAACGGAGGCAAAACTTTTCGAAATAAACCAGATTTTTATCTCCAGCGCGCGAAACTGTTGCCACTTGGAAAAATAAGTCTGAATATTAGCGTTTTCAGAATTTTTAGTTGTTATCTCGGCTGATTAAGGGGACGGTGGACTTTAAAAATTAGTTTTTTAAGTTTTTGTGTTTTCAACAAGACATTTTACACATATACATATTATAACATCAGTTTATAAAATATATACATATTATAACATCAGTTTATAAAATATATGTTCAAAATTTCAAT